TTTTCTTTTCTTTTCTTTTCTTTTCTTTTCTTTTCTTTTCTTTTCTTTTCTTGCTCTCCTAGGCCGGAACTCACAAGACTGGGGAGAGGATCCCAAAATCCGAAGAGGAGGCTGGGAGTGTCTCTTCTTCAACCCTTTCTAGGCTCCCGATTTCTTCCGTCCGAGTTTCGCCCGCCGAGGCTTCAAGATGGTGTAGTTCATGTAGTTTGTGTGCCGGTCGGAGAGGAAAGGAACGTAGAAAGCCCGGAACAACCTTGAGGATCTAAGAAGACGAAGAGAAGGTTTTGGATCGGGGGGTGGGGGTGGAGTCCCTTCCTTCAGGCAGCCGGGAGGGTCCTCCATCTTTGGCAGCTTGAAGTCTTGTGGACTTCAACTCCCAGAATTCCCCGCTCCTGGGGAATTCTGGGAGTTGAAGCCGGCAAGCCTTAAAGGGACAGGGACAGTTGATGCAAGGATGGTTTAGTGTTGACAGGGAAGCCGGATTTCAAGTGGGCTTGAGGTGAAGGAGGGCTGCTGACCTGCTGCCTTGGAAGCACTGGGGGTGGGTGGGAATTGGACGTGGGTGGAGGGCGGGGGAGGGCAGCTGGACCCCAGCTGGGACCCTCCCAGGCCTTCCTGATGCATTTCTCGGAGCCCAGCGAGAGCTGCCTTTGTGGCTCTCTTTGTGACGCCAGCCGGAGACTCTCGGCTGTCCCAGAAGCAGGAATCCGGCACAGGTGGAGGGATCCGGTCTCCCCCCCACCCCCGGAGGAGCTGAGCAGCCCTTGCAAGGAGGATGAAGGGCCCCCCTGAGGAGCTGCAGGGGAGTGGGGAGGGCATTCCCTCTTTCTGCATACTCCTCCGACCCCTTCCCTCCCTCCCTCCGTGTGTATTTCTCTCTTTCCCTTTCCTCTCCTCCCCTTCCTTCATCTCATTCTTCTTCCTTCTTTCTCTCATCTCCCTTTCTCTCTTCCTTTCCTCCCTCTCCTTCCTCCTCCTTTCTTCCTTCCCTCTTCCTTCCTCTCCTCCCTCCTTTCCTTTCCTCCTTTTTCCTCCTCCTCCTTTCTTCCTTCCCTCCATTCTTTTCACTTCTTCCTGCCTCTCCCCCTCCTTTCCTTCTCTCCTTTTTTCCTTCCCTCTTCCTTTCCCTTCTTCCTTCCTCTCCTCCCTCCTTTCCTTTCCTCCTTTTTCCTCTCTCTTCCTTCCTTCCTTCCATTTTTTTCTCTTCTTCCTGCCTCTCCCCCTCATTTCCTTCTCTTCCTTCCTTCCTCTCTCCATCCTTTCCTTTCCTTTTTTCCTCCTCCTTCCTTCCTTCCCTCTTTTCATGTCCCTCCTTCCTCCCTCCCCCCACTCCTCCTTTCCTTCCCTCCCTTCTCCATTCCTTTCCTTTCCTCTCCTCTCTTCCCATCCTCCCTCCCCTCTCTTTTTCCTTCCTTCCTTCCTTTCAATGGGGCTGCAAAGCACCAGCTGAGAAATGCCACCGGCCCCGGTGAACCAAGGACAGAAGACTGAACTGCCTTACGACAGATTTCCCTGGGGAAGAGGGGGGGGGGGGGGGGAAAGATTTGACCGTCTGTTCCCAACCTCCCTCCCGCTGCTCTCTCTCCCCAGGGGAATTCTCACCCTGCCTCTTCCCTTCTCCACCCCCTCACCCAGCAATTAGAGAGAGGGGTGGGAGGGGGAGGAAGGGGCTGCCAACCTCCGAGCCCCCCTCTCCTTCCTCTTAAGACTTCATTTTTCCCAGGACTCCTTTCACGGACAGACGGCACCCCCCTCTATTCCCTCCCCACCCACCCCCAGCAAGGGGAAAAAGGTGACCACAGATGGATGCAAATCCATAGATTCACTGGGTTAGGAGGGACCTTGGAGGTCTTCTAGTCCAACCCCTGACCTAGATGAGAAGGGATGGGATGGGGCGAACTCAGGGGTGACTGGGTTGCTACGGGTTCACACGGGTTCGGTTGATTCTCCAGCTAAGAATCTGTGCAGTTCGGCGAACCCGTAAATCTGGGGTCCCCAAACTTGGCAACCTTAAGACGGGTGGACTTCAAGTCCCAGAATTCTCCAGCCAGCTACGAAGTCCACAAGTCTTCAAGTGGCGACCTCTGCATTGGTGGACCTTCATAATCTAAACCAGGTTCGTCACCGTGGCATCAAATCCCACTGCGTGGATTATTTCATCCGCCCAATCAAACCCTGAACTTTGTCCATTTTAGATTGTTTCTACTGTTTAAGTCTTGTTTCTGAAGAGACCAATATTGCAAGTTGGGCAATTGGGTTTCGGGATCCGAGGTAAACATCCTTAAACCCGCATTTCAATGGAATTTTTATGGCCCTTTGGTCAATTGATTTCACCAGACCAAACTCTAAATATAAACTGATCTGGAATTCTGGCGGAGGAATTCTGGGAGTTGAAGTCCACGGGTCTTAAAAGTTGCGGGGTTTGGAGACCTCTGCCGTAAATCCCACCCCGGGCTGGCCCTGTCCGCACCTCCCCTCCCTGAGGTCCCCACGCAGCCCATTTCGGATGCCAGGTAAGTGCAGCGCCCGCATGGAGGCAGGAAATAGGCCGTGTTGTAAGGCCTCCGGAGCCCAGGGAAGGCTGTTTTCCCCCTCTCGGAGTCTCGAGAAAGGCCTCCGGAGTCTGGGGAGGGCTGTGGTTCAGGAGGCCAACTAGGCCCTGCCCACCATGGCCACGCCCACCAGAGAACCGGTTGCTGAATTTTTTGTAGCCCACCCCTGGGCGAACGCAATCACCCCACTCCAACCCCGAATCTCATTTGGCAAAGGGGTGGGGTGTGTAGAAAGCCTGGCATGCTGATGACCCACAGAGCTAGATCTCTAGCTGGGAGACCCAACCCTTCTTGGCTGCAAGATGGCAGCTGGTCTGACGTGACACCCACCCCATCGCCCAAGCTGGCGTCCGAGGTGCGTTTCCACCCACCAGGAGCCCGAGGGTTTCCCGGGCCAGCCTGGCCCTCGTGCCCTCTCACCTTAAGCTATCCAGGAAAGGCTTGTAAGCGATCGTGATCCACTCCTCCTTGTTAGCCGCGTACCTGGGCTCCCGGGGAGCTTCGTCGGGGCTGTCCAGATCCACCAGGTAGTGGCATTTGGAGAGGTCGAACTGCGGGAGGAAAGAGCCTCGGTGAGGGAGGGGTCTCTTTGGCTTCAGGAAGGCTGCTGGGCAGGGGGAGGGGGCTGCTGCTCTGAGCAAAGCTGCCCGAGCAGCAGGAAGAGGGCAGCTGGTCCCAGCCCTGCCAGAGGAACTCCTTCGGGCAAGACTGGTTTTCTTGCAGACGTTTCATGACCCAACTAGGTAACTTCATCAGCGCTGGAATGAATTAAACTGAAGAAGCTTCTTGAACTGACTGAACTGAACTAAATCCTTTATTGGCAAACAACAAAAAAAGGATTTATTAGGAGTGACCATGTCAGCATTACCTGGGTGCCGTCGACACTAAGACACATCCTTCATTTCTCCCTTAACCCTGGTCTTTCCCCCACTCCCTGGATGTATATTCTCCAATGGGACATATCCATAGCTCCCCAGTAATAATCTTGCGTGCCAACAGCTTCGGCTGCCTAGCAATTATCTGAAGCATTTAAGGAATGCACTGCTTTCTCCACTCCCTTTCTGCTGGCAACTGAAAAGACCAAAGAAGAGGGAGCCCCTTTTCGCTGGCAGGACGCTCAAGCCATCACAAAGCGCCCCCGACATGAGTGACGTCGAGCTGGCCACGCCCACCCGGGCCACATCCACCCCGGCCCACCGAGGTCAAACACAACGCCAATACGGCCCTCACTGAAATTGAGTTCGATACCCCTGCCCTAAGCCTACCGAGAGGGACAGAGCCCAGCAGTCAAACTGGCAAGACGTGGGCCCGCTTTTGCAGAGGGCAAGGTGCTACGCGAGAGACCGGCCCGGACGAATAGAAGACGGCTCCACTTACATATCTGGAAGGTTCTTCTTGGTTCTGATCATTCATGTTGGTGGGCACAAGGCGGGTGGCGCCCGGGCCTTTGGCAAACCGTTTGGGCAACTGGCCCCGGAATTCGGAGGCAATGAACTCGAGCTGCCAGCTGCGGGAAGGAAAGGGGGCATAGACGGTTTTATTAAGGGTGTTCCTGGGCTTTGAAGTGGGCAAGCACAAGATGGAGGCAGGCAGAGGGGTGGGGTGAGGGGTGGGGAAGGGCCGGCTGGCTGGTGGCAGGGGGGACCCTATTTGCCATGTGGGGCAAACGGGCAATGGAGCTGTGAGAAAGCAGCGAAGATGGGCACTTCTGCGTAAAATGCCAGTCTGGATTCTCTGCCCTTTTCTTCTTTCTCAGAAATGCAGCTCTGTCTTTCTACGGCTTCCTGCCTCCCTTGGCTTCGTGGCCCAGGCAGGGTCCCCTTTGTGCTGGCATGAGGGGTGCCCCCAGGCAGTCATCCAACTTCACTTTGGACCGGGAACTTACTTCTCCGGGAGGACGAAACTGCTGGGAAACCGATACCACTCCTTCCCGACACAGATGTGGACCGTCCTGCCTTCGGGCAAGGTGTGAATTGTGGGGTCAGTGGCAATTCTGTGGAACTCTGGGTACAGGTCTAGAGGCCCGTGGTAACCTAGGCAGCAAACGTAGCATTTGGGGGGGGAAAAAGAGGAGAAAAGTTGGCCACGGCTACTGAAAACCCCCTTAAAAATTAGCCGGTGTCCCCTTCAAATGCTTCTCCAACCAGATATGTTGAGGCAGAAAGTCCCAGAATTCCCCAAAGGCTCAAGGTTGGCTGAGGTGTCCAGGGAAGATACCGTCGCAACATCTGGGGAAGATCAGGCTGTGTGTCCGAACTCTTTTTTCACCTTTTAAGACAGGCAAGATTTCAACTCCCAGAATTCCCCAGCCAGAAGGCTGAAGCCATTGCTCAAGCTTGTTGCTTAGGGGATTCTGGGAGTTGAAGTCCACAAACTTCAGGTGATCAAGGCTGAAAGACACTTATCGAAGACCCCCCCTACACACACCCCTCCAAATTATGGACTCAACGTAGCTTAGAACTTTTCGGGGAGTCAGGATAGGCCTCTCTCCCTGCCCCCCAAAACCTATAGGGAATCAAGACTTAGAAAGCCATCTTAGACAAAGTCCTAGTCAATCATCATTGCTGAATGATGATTCCTAACCCCTCCCCCAAGAAGCTTGATTGTAATCTAGTGGATCGCTGCAGGAGTAAGGGTGGGGGTTGGGGAAGAGGAACCGATCCCTGCAGAAGAGCTACTGGTTAACTGCTCTGCGGGGTCAGAGAAGAATGGAAACCCAAGAATGGGACAACTTGCTTCAGCCAACTTGCTGGGTATAATTCACCATGGCCAACTCGCCATGGCCAAGTCAACATGACCAACTCACCATGGCCAACTCGCCATGGCCAACTCAACAAGACCAACTCAACAAGGCCAACTCCCTATGGGAAAACTCACTGCAGAACAATTTTAACTATTCTATTTCATGATTTGCAATAAATAAAAATTATTTTAATTTTTTGCCGTTCCCATTTCATTCTGCCCCTCCTTTTGCATCCTTTCTTTAATGAGTCTATTCCGCCAATCTCTTTGATATTAGTGTAACTGGCCGTGGCGAATGGTCGTTGACCCCAGGATGCCTCCTCGCCTTGCCTAAACCCACCTCTGAATAAAGCCACCGAGCGGGAGAAGGAGAGCAGGCCGAAGACCAGGACGGTGCCCAGCGCCAGCCAGTTGGAAGAGACGGTGTAATGCTCCAGACGGTACCGTTGGAAGACAAAGTGATAACATTTCTGGAGGGGGATGAGGGGGAAGAGAAAAACATGAGCGCTGGGGAATTCTGGGAGCTGAAGTCCATAAGTCTTAAAGTTGCCAAGTTAGGAGACCCTTGCTCAAAAGTAAGGCCGGGGTTGGCCTTCAAATAATTTAACAACCGGTTCTTTGCCCAACTGCTGAGCGGGCGTGGCCTAGTCAGCCTCCTGCATCACCCTGTTCGCCAAACTGGCCATAAAATTAACAACCGGTTCGCCTGAACCGGTGCAAACCGGTATAGCAGTCCACCCCTGAGAAAGATCCACCGGGAGAACCCCGCCCTGCCCATCCCTCCTCTCTTGCCCCTTGCCCCACATTGCTCCTGCCCCCAAAACGCACCTGGAGGGCCGAGAGCCCCACTGCTCCGCAGAGACAAATCAGGGGGTAGACGGGGTACAGAAACCTCTCCTCTTTGTGGGGCTGGCTGAAGAAGATCAGGAACCAGATGTACATGGGAGAAAGCGTCAGCCAGTACGGGCGGCCCAGGTTTTGGACTGGAAGAAGGGACAGTGGCAGATCAGTAGCGGAAGGAAAGAGCAACCTGGGTTGTTGTTCTTGTTTTGGGCAGAGTTGTAAAATGTCAGTGTGTGTCGTCTTAATGCTTTGGTTGTTTTTTTTTAATTTGTCTTTTTATAAGCTGTAAGCCGGACGGGGTTGCCTTATAAAAAATTGGATGAAATAAATAATAAGAAGAAATAAATGGAGCAGGAGGGTTCTTGGAGTGGATGGGACAGCCTTTTTTCCTGAACCAGGACGTTGAAGAAGGTCTTCTGCGCTTGGGAGGCTTCGCTCTTTGGAGGCAGGGGAAGAGGGGCTGGCCGAGTCTGCCCAGGGACTCTTCCCCATAACCCAGGTGTTGAGGTCTAAGGGGCTCACCACGAAACTTCTGCAGGAGGGTCTCCATCAGGCAGGTCAAGGGCAAAGCCAGCAAGGCCAGGATGAAGGCCACGTTGAAGTTCAGGAAGCCGTTGATGAAGTAGAAGGACCAGGGCTCCGTGCCTGCAAGGAAGGAAAGGAGAAAGAGGTCAGGACCTCCCCGGAGGCTCTATCCCAGCCAGTGTTGTGGCCGCCAGTGGCCGGTGGAGCTGGCGGTAGATTCGGACAATGAGGAGGAACATGGGCCAATCCTGGAGTCTGGGGAAGGCTCTGTATCAGAGGCAGAGATGGGACCAGAGCCATCCAACAGTTATCAGCTGCCTTCAGAGTCAGAGATCAGTGGGGAAGTAGAACAGCTGGAGCCTATTCCTGATGTACACATGCGCAGAGCTGTCAGGAGAAGAGAACACTTAAGGAATAAGGGTCGACTTGGGAGTAAAGGCACAGGTGGACGGTGAATGGCCCCTCCCTTAGGGAATAAAGAGGAACGAAAGGGGAATGGGGTTTGCAGGAGACCATTAGTTCGTTTAATTAGTGTGAAGATTTGTTCGTGCCTCTCAGAGACTCCTTGCCAAGTATCTTCTTGTACAGCGTTGCGCTTGGAAGCTATCGGCCTGGCAGCTCTCCAAGCCTGATAAGGACTGTGGTTGTAATCCACCCTTGAAAGACTGTTTGCCTGACTTTGCTGGATGTGAATGAGAGGAATTCACATTAGCCTAAATAAAAGGGATTTTGTCGGGATGATAAGTCTGCTTTGTGATTTTGGGAAGCCCAAGTCAGAACAGCCAGGAGTCTGCATGTGTGTGATACGATCGCCTTTTGTAACCACAGATGACTTCCAACATGCAAAGTTTTATTTCTATGGGGAAATAAAATCCGGGGAGAGGGGAGGAAGACCGTGTGACCACCCCACCACCGCTCCAAAACGCTTCCTCCTGCCCGCAGGTAGACTCACCGTAAAGGTCTGGCCCGTGTGGGGTGAAGACGTTATACAAGATGATGTTCAGAGGGGCTACCACCAGCTTCCCATAGTGGTAGCTATCGATGGCCACCATGGGCACCTTCGTGGAGAAACAAGCCACCCTTCAGAGCTTGGTCCTGCACTCTGGACCACATCATGCCAGCGTTTGGATTCCCCAGTTTGGAAAATGCAGGGTGGAACGGCTACTTTGCTTAGCGGAGGAAGGGCTGTTGTCCTCAAGGGCGAAGGGTGATGTAGAAGCCCGCCAGAAGCAAGGGTTGCCACGCTGACCTTGGAAGACTCACCAGAAACACCAGTAGAGACACCAAGGACCATTGCAGGAAACTCTTCCACCGTCTCTTCAGGACCAGCAAGTCGAAGGCAATTGGGAGGCTGCCCAATGGAAGACCGAGGGATGTTATTAGTGAAGGTGTTTAGCTCAATGTAATATACCTGATACTCCAATCAAGGAATTACCAGCTCAGTCAAATAGTAACCAACAGCCTACTCAAGGAAGCACCAAGGGGATTCCCACCAACACTGACAGAGCCAGCTACTAGTACATCAATAGAGCAAACCCCACTGCCTTCTAGCACTGATGATGTTACCTAGTTGGGTCGTGAAACGTCTGCAAGAAAATAACCAAGCTCAGAGAACAGCAAGAACTCCACAATCCTCCAACTTATTCCTCCCCTCCTCCTCCTCCTCCTCCTCTCCACAAAGCCTCCTCCCTTCTACCACTGATGATGTTACCTAGTTGGGTCATGAAACGTCTGCAAGAAAACCAAACTCGGGGAACACCAAGGAGCCCACAATTCTCCTCCTCCTCTCTTTCTCCTCCTCCTCCTCCACTCTTGCACACCCTCTTCTTTTCTAGCACTGCTGATATCACCTACTTAGAAAAATGGCGTTTGGGAAGCATCCTCCAATCCCAGTTCCCAAATGACCCTCCGGACCCGAGTTTTTCAACCCTGGCAACTTTCAGATGGGTGGACTTTCATTTCCCAGAATTCCCCCACCTTAAAGTCGCCAAGGTTGAGAAACACGCCTCTGGATGCTACTGTTCATTTCCTCCTATCCTGAACACTTCCTGAACCTCCCTCTTTCTGACCCCCTCTTACCCCAGCGCTGCGCTGAACGGCCAACCCACAATGGCTCCGGCGGCCACACCCAGGACTGCCAAGGATGTTCGGTCCATGTACCAGCCTGTCATGGCTACGACGGTACAATACATGCAGAAGCTGCTGGGAAGGAAGGCTGCAGAGAAGAAAACGCAGAATGTCAGAGTGTCTGCAGCGTGACTACTATTGTGAGACCAACCAGGAGCAAAACACAGCTCACACAGAGCCTTTGTCTTTTTAACGGCAGTTTATATACAAGACAGCTATATATATATTCATATACATGATAGGCAAATACCCGGCAATCAATCAATCTTCTTTACTCTGCGTGAAGAACCACAATGGAGACAGAACACAAGGGGAGACAGATACACCCTCTCATGACCTATCTTATATAGACAGCTTCTTAAAGTGGTAAAAACCTTGTGGGACCCATCCTCAGTCTTAAAGCGGCAATAACCACGATGATTCCTCCTCATTGCATCAGCCTTGTAACAGCCGGTCAGCTCTTAAATCACTTAGAGACTACAGTGGTTTACTTAATGACGGTGGCAAACAAGCTGTAGAATTGGGTGCGGTCTTGTCATGCCTTGCTTAAGAACGGCGCTGCCTAACGATGAATTTTTCCAGTTAGGCGATCGTCAGTTGAAAACCGGATGTACTTAATCGAACCGCAAAATTGGTCCCCCCCGGCCCCGGGTCCTTTCTTAGCTTACCTGAGGCCGAGCAGAACATCCCGGTGCTAAGAATCAAGAAAGCCAGCATAAGCCTGCTCACATGAAGCCCAAACTTCTTGCACACTGCCCTGGGAGACAGAGGAGAGAAAATGGAGCCTGTTTTAGGGGGGCGCCAAGCATTTCAGGATGGCTCACCTCGCCGAGATCTCCCAGCCTTGGAAAAGGCAGGCCAGGTATTCTGCACCAGCAGCTTCCGTTGTAGCTCAGGGACAGGACAGGTGTGCTGCTTGGGGAAGGCTCCGGAGCGGAAGGGAAAAGGGAGTGGAAGCGAGCGAAGTACCCCAGTGATCTAAAACTGTGCTAAGCTAAAACTAAGGGGCTGCCACAGAGAGGAGGGGGTCGATCTGTTTGCCGAAGCCCCTGAAGGCAGGACAAGAAGCAACGGGCGCAAACTAACCGAGGAGAGAAGCAGCCTAGAACTAAGGAGGAATTTCTTGACGGTTACAACAATTCATCAGTGGGATGATTTGCCTGCAAAAGCGGTGAATACTCCAAAACTGGAAGTTTTTAAGAAGAGATTGGATAATGATTTGTCTGAAATGATATAGGGTTTCCTGCCTAAGCAGGGGGCTGGACTAGAAGATCTCCAAGGTCCCTTCCAACTCTGCTATTCTGTTAAATTAAAACTGCTTCTGAGGTTACTGGATTTCAGAACTACTCAGAACTAACTAACCTCAACCAGAACTTACTATCTTGAGCCTTTCACACCTCACTCCATTCCTAAGAGGTCTGTAAGGAGGCGTGCATAAGCGCACCAGCGTGCCTACCGTCTCTGTCCTACTGTCCCCATTTATTCATACTCATTTATTATGTCTATGCTTATCCCTGTTTATACTTACACGCTTACATGTTATGTTCATGTTTTCTCATACAAGCTTGACAAACTAAATGAATAAATAAAATAAACAAACAAACAAGAGGGTCCTGGCTGATACTCACTTATAAAAATAAAGCTCGCAAACGCAACTCAGGAAGGCCAAAAGGCAGCGCAGGAAGTAGAAGATGAGGACCTAGGAAGAACAGCTCCCGTTACAAAATTTCTACAGACAGACAGTGGTTGTGTTCACAGAAACTGCAGAACGATAAAGCTACCAGGTTGTTGTTGTTGTTGTTTTTCAGTGTGATCCAGTTTGCCATTCGGTATGTCCGTTAGATTGACTAAATTATATTTTGATTAGACCTGGGTTGAGTAGGTCAGGGTGCAGAACTGCAGGCCTTGGGAGCTGCCTCCCTTCCATTAGGAGAACTCCCCCGCCAGCCTGAGCGTGGGGGTGTTGCCAACAAAGTCACAACTTCCCCCCAAAAAACACAGAGCCCAGCACGACAACACACAATGTTAAAAAAGGGGGCAACAGCTCGACCTGCTGTCCAGGAACACAAAAGAAAGGAAGGAGCAACCTCAGAGAGAGGGGACTGAAGACACAGCGGGCTTAAGAAAGAAAAATTAAGGCACAGAGGTAGTGCTTGACTTACGACCGGTCACTTAGCAACCGTTCAAACTTACGATGGACATTGAAAAGGGAATTATGACCTGCATTTGGGGCAACTGATACGTGACTCCAGTTCGTGTTACCTTGTTTGTTCGGAGCACTCTAGCATGGAAGAGGGCCGGCAGAGCATGGAGCCACAGGTACGCATAGGAGCGAATGGCATAAACCGGAGAATATTCCCACGTCTGGAATCCTTTGCCATAAACGAGGTAGTGCATCTATAAAAGCAACTCACAACAACAAAGATGCCCAATGTTTTGCTTTCTACAATGTATAGGCATACAAGGAAAAATACTAAGCAGTCAGCCAGGACTTCTCAAAGTGTCTATAGAGAGTCTCAATCATCCCGGTCAGGGATCCCCAAACTTGGCAACTTTAAGACTTGTGGACTTCAACTCCCAGAATTCTCCAGCCAGCTATGCTAGCCCTTGAGTGGGGTGTTCTGTTGTGGCTTCAAGTGGCTTCTACTGTACTGCCTTCAAATGGCTTCTAATGTATAGCATGATGTTGCCATAATGGTAATGGCTTCACAATGGCTTCCTCTGGTAAGGAGGAAAATCCAACATTAGAAACTACGTTTGTTCCGGGTTGCTGAAATCAGGGCTTTTCCTGTCTAATACAGGATTAGGATTAAATAAATACCAGGGCTACGCCAAGTTATCGGCTAGTATATGAATAAAAAACTTGACTTATGGGAGACATTTGGTGCCCTGATGACTGCCCTAAGAAGCTAATCTCGACAGGATCTGCGACCTGGTTTCAAAGGGTTCAAGACCTTTAAATCCAGCAAGTGATTAAAAGAGGCTGATGAAACCTTCGCTCTCCTGCAAGCTAATAAGAGGTATTATTACCACAGGCAAGGAGGATTTACTCACAGGCTCCCAGTAGTTGAAGGTTTCATCGCAGTCAGAGATGTTACTCAGCAGAGCTGCACAGAACCTGGCTGAGATTAGACACTTGAAAGCCGTTGATCCTTCAGGAGCCCAGACGTGGCCTGCTTTGGTTCCTGAGGACCTGACAGAAAAGCAAAGTGGCTGTTATTAACCCTGTAAATTAAGGAAGACGGAAAGCAAGGAGTGAAATGATGGAGAGGAAGAAAACGGTGCTGCTTGGACAGCTATCCTGGCTTTCGGACACAACGGAGCATCCAGAAAGGCCGATGGGAGAGAATCTAGAGGGCCAAATTGGGGCATTAAAGGCGTATAAGGCCAATCATGGGATGAAAATGCTCCCTTGGACCCGAACCTCACTCATTCTTTGCTTCAATGCTACCGAGAGCTTATTTTAAATCACGGCTCTTCAAACTTGGCAATTTGTGGACTTCAACTCCCAGAATCTCCCAGCAGTATGAAACTTGGGATTTCTGGCTGGGGAATCCTGGGACTTGAAGTCCACAAGTCTTAAAAGGTGCCGAGTTTGGAGATCCCCTGTTTCAAATCAATCCAATACTACCTGCATCAAGGTTTAAAACTGGCTTGTTCTAAAAAAGACCAAACCCTCCCCGTGTAGAAGAACCTGGTTAAAGGGGTGTGTGTGTATGTATATGCGTATGTATGTATGTATGTATACATATACACACACACACACATATATATATATACACGTATGTATATGTATGTGTATGTATATATGTATGCATGTGTGAAAATATGTGTATGTATGTATATACGTATGTGTATATGTGTACCTATGTATGTATGTGTATATGCGCGTGTGTGTGTGTGTGTGTGTGTGTGTGTGTGTGTGTGAGAGAGAGAGAGAGAGAGAGAGAGACAGACAGACAGACAGACAGACAGATCAAAAGTATGAATTATGGATGGGAGAATTTTTAAGATACCTTTCCTCTTGTTGATGTCAGAGGCTGGGCACCTTAAGGCTTGCCATTGAATGGATTAGATTTGAATTAAAAGGAGGTGCAATTCCTTTTAATTTAATTTCAATCCCATTCCTTCTCTCCCTCCCACCCAAATATGGGGGTCCTCCTTTCTGCCAGTATCTCCCCTCCCCATTTACCACCCCCCGGCCAGCCCATAATACCCTCGCCCCATTAACAGTACACGAAATGACAACCCGCTCCCCTTTCAAAGCCTGGGTTCTCAGAAGCGGGTGGGGGGGCAGTAAACTACAACTCCCATCAACCCTCAGTACCTTCACCCTTCTAATGGAAGGCTGAAGACACTGAGGGGTAATGGGAGTTGTAGTCCAGCCCTCCCGGAGCGCCCGCTGGGGCAGAAACCAGGCCGTCCCTTCCCGGCTCTCGGCCCCTACTCGGCTTTGTTCTCCTCGGCGGCCGGCTGCGGCGCAGGACCCTCGTCTCGCTGCCGGGCAGGCGCCGCCGAATCCCCACCGCCCCATCGAGGCCGCTGCCGGGCCCCCTTGGCTGCCATGCCGAGTGTGGGCAGGCGGCCGGGCTCGTGGCGCTCAGCGCGGGGACGCGACGCCGGCCGCCGCCATCCTCGGTGTGGGCACGGCGCAGGCGCAATTGCTCCTCCCCCCTTTCCTACATTTTTGCCCGCGCTGCGCTTTGGTGCAGCGACGGGCGACGTGGAAAAGGCACGAAGTCCCATAGGCCGGGCAGCAGGGCCTAGTGGGAAGAGCACCAATGTCATTTGCGTGTCTCTCCGTCCCTAAATTGCCTTCTCCGGGATTGGTTTTCTGCATGGGCACCCAACCCCCCACACCCATTGCAATGGCAAAGGACAACAATAATGTTGTTTCTGCAAGTTATTGCTATTGCTGCTGTTATGGCTGCAAAAATGTTACTGCCTTTATTTTAATAAGTCAATAAATAAATCTGCCCGTCGGGGAAAAACTGATGCTTTTATTTTATTTAAATTCCAGCTTTTATTATTTTGGGTAAATAACTCAAGGTGGCAAATATATTTTCTTTGATGTACACTGAGAGCATTTGCACAAAGACAAATTCCTTGTGTGTCCAACCACACTTGGCCAATAAACTATTCTATTCTCTATATTCCACACACCTCCCTCCTTTCCGCTGCCACTTTGCCCGCACCACCGGCCCCGCCAAGTCCTCCTCCTGGTCCCCCTACCTAACCATCACCCGGAGGCAACGCTGCAGTTCTTCCCTCAGCTCCTTCTGCATGGCTGCCGCCTGGGGGCGACCGAGCGCTTTGTCACACGACTGGTAAGTGAGCCTGTAGCACAGGCTGGTGGCGGGCGCTGTGCCCAGCCGCTGAAAACGGTCAAGCAGCCGCACAGACGCAACCGTGTCCAAAGACACATGCCTGGCAATGGCGTGAAACTGGACTTCACAGAACATTTCTGCCTCTGGAAGCCAGAAGCTGATGTCGTGGACGTAGCTCGGTGGATGGAGGGAAAAGCTCTGGAAAAGGCCTAAGCGGCCCCCTGAAAACTGGCTGCCAAAACGCTCGTCCGGAGTCCAGAGCATCCGCCAGTCAGAAATGCCACACGCGCACATGGCCAGAAGATCGAGGTTCAAGGAGATGCAAGCCATGTTTTGGTGAACGCTCGGAGGTCGCCAGCGAACGATGCTTATTGTCCCGACACGAAATTCCTTGGGGCCAGAATCAAAGCCCTGGCAGCTCACTGTCACGGCGTGTTTTGGGTTGAGCAGAAACAGTTCTGGAGAAGATAGAAAGGTCTTCTGCTCACTGCTTTCGGGCTCCTGGTTCAGAAAGGTCAACTTAACGTCAGATGACGGGAGTAAAGAGTTTAATGTGCCCACGAGGATCTCCATCAGGAGCTGTGCATCTTCTCCACCTTCCTTAAGGGCACAGATAAAGAGGGCCTCGTGAAAAACAGGAGGCACCTGAACAGAAATTTTACATTTTTTAAAAGCCAGTCCGCTGAGGGCCAACAGACTCTGAGGAGAAAAGTCTCTCTGTTTTACAATAGAATGAAGAAAAACCAACAGGGAAGGCCGAAGGTAATATTGTCCTAAGGTCCAACTCAAATCTTGATCAGTTCCAGGGTCATTTTTAGAAGCCGCAGACTTAATTTCAGGGTGACTTTTGGCAACAGGAATCACCCAAAAGGCGTCTGAGGTAGGAGAAGAAGGGTCTTTGAATACCAAGGGAAATGAAGAATTCACCTTCTGAACTGCGAATGATCTGCTGAGGCCATCGATTAGTTTTTCGTTTATGGTTCTGACAGGATGCTCCGAATTAATACCTAAGAAGTTCCTAGTTCAGATCATGGAAATATTTGGAAAAAAGAAGTGTTAAACAAGGCAAGCCACTAATCTCAAGATGTCGTGCTTTCAAAAAAACAGCAAATTATTGATGGAGCAGTAAATGTAAAAGGGTGTTACGATTTTTTTAGCCTATTACTTAGTATGATTCGAGTTTCTCAGTCCAAAAGGCATCTGGATACCAGAGGAAATGTAGACCCCGCCCTTAAATGCTCCATTTAAGAGCCCGCTCATCAGCCACGTTGATTACATTATGCAGAGATCAGACTCAAAGGACCTGGAAATTCTGCTGCATACCTGTTTATCTTATCTAGGAGCATCTGTGGAATTTGGCAGGACACGAATTCGCCTCCCAACTTCACTTTGCAAATCAAAGGTTGAGAATACAGAAATGGCGCGCTCCTGGTGAATATGTGATTCACAGCGCCTTCGATGCAGAAAGATTTATCCTGATTCCTAGGAAGAAAGCAAATGAATGAGTGCTTTTCATCTGTACAGTTGGCTGAACCAACTGAAAGCAGAACAATGGAATCCAAAATCCGGAAGGTAAATATTAGGCTGACTGAAACACCAGGCGAGATTCATGTTGAAAGGTATCAACAGAAGAACAATCCTCGTGAGACAAAGGAGCTGTAGTCCAACATAAGCAGAAAGAATTCAGTTAACAAAGGTTGTATAGGTCTGATTATTCCCAAAATTTATACAGAGTTTTATTAGAAATTTAATCTGTTCCTTCAATAAATTTGCCCCCACAAAGGCCTGAGAACCAACAGTCATATTTTTTTTCTGCTAGAGGTAATAGAAATTTAAATATGGGACGTATTAGTTTTATAAGAAATAAATTGTGTATGTGCAGTTCTCACCCACAGAATTTGCATGATGTTTCCCAAAAGAGACAGGAGCATTTGGTAAGAAGGCGCTTTCTTGGGCAACATCCAAGATGGCACCTGGCATACGATCGACCGCAGCTTACCTGTAGCCTGTACATTTATATCCACCGACATCTCTGATATCAAATGGCTCGATGCCACTCAAGATAAATCCTGCTTCTGCTGCCATCTCCACAACTTGCCAGCTGTTGTGCCACTCGCGCACCGGCTGGTCTGCAGGGGTGCCCCCTTGTCCTTTGCAAAGTGCCACGCGGACGTCTCCTTTCTCTGCCAGAACATCTGCACAGCTGGGACAAAGAAAAAAGAGGGGTACCATTGCCACACAGCCAATGTAGCAAGCTGTCTTTCTCAGTTTTCTTTTCTTTGTTTTAAGAAAAAGGAAAAACAGCTCTGTAAGGTCCAGACTCTCCCCTCTTCAGATGGTAAGAACGAACTTTTGAAAACTGGGTATTTCAAAAGGAATTCTTTATTGAAGACGGAAGAAAGCAAGTCAACATTCAAAGCAGGGTCTGATATCCTTCTGTGCATGCAGCTCAGACAAAGGGAGTTAGAACCCCTCCCCTTAGTCCGATGTGGATTTCGCCAATACGCAGAAGCAAACACGTTATTTTCCCCTCGTCTCTGAGAACGTAGCTAAGAAGAGATTCCCAGGAAGTTGGAATTGGAATTTATCTGGTCCCTTCTCCTCTTGCCATCTCTCTGAGGGGTGAGAAGTTTCCAGCCATCTGGGACGCCAGGCAATGGTTGACCTTGTGTAAAGGTCATACAGATTCAGTACAAGAGTTAGGATATTCATATTACATCAAAAAGAACTACTTGTATCAACCCTCCCTCCCCTTGTTCTTCCACTGAAGAATGACAGATACATGGATCTGACAAGCTCCAAAGGAGTCTTTTCAGCAGACTTCTGAAACATTGTTTTGCATAAAAATCTTTGTTGTTGGAGGAGCATGCAGGGATAGCAAGACCAAGAACCAAAGCCATAGAAATCCTCAATTATATTTCCTCTGCCCATACCATGTTCTATCCAGCAGCAATTTGCCCAAAGCTCTTAAGAGTAACAAAGATATTCCTGCTTGATTGATAAGTTCAAAAGGTAGCTCTATCTTCTTGGCATTTATATTTTGAGGCTTGTAATGCAAAATATAATGGTCTGGAAACAGTACGCAGCCTTGCTTTGTCTCACCTGCAGAAAAACTTGGCAAGAAGCTCCCTGTTCTTTTTTATTCCAGCCTTTTTTCCACAGTGAGGGAAATTGAAATAAATACGGTCAAAATTCCTCATAGCTGGCAAGAAGTATTCCTTCAGTTTTGTGCAGTTGACAGAAAAGTAGACTTCAGCACCTGGATTATTAAAAGAATAATAACGCACGGTGTAACAGTTGATTTTTCCCCCCAGGTAAACAAAATATAAGGACAACAAAAATGCAACAATACCGCTTGCCTCACACCTCACTTACCTTTGTCTCTCAGAAACTGTACATTAGATTTGGTGAAAGCTTGTTCAGATATAGACTCTTCACTACCGTAGCAGGTAGCAATAATATGAGTGTCACAGCCTCTTTCTTTGTACAGATGGACTGAGAAGGAAAAGTTTCCTTCTCCAACCAGGAGGAGACGTGCTTGTTGATGCTGCATGGAGGAAAATGGTCACCGTCAAAAGCCAGAGTTTGGGTTGTAGAAGACTTTAGGGGATTCTGCTCCTTTAGTCTCTGGCTCCTGAGGCAATCGGCTGGATCATTTTTGGAATATAAAATGAGGAGATGCAAGCTTCCAAATTCACTAGAGACTTTGTTCTATAGCAGAGAAGCAACCAAGCATCGCTCTGCGCCAGCCAGTATGGCTCATAGCAAGCAAACTGGGGAGCTGTGCCCCAAAACTTGCAGGAAGCACTTCAGGGTTCCTGCTGGATTAGAGAAAGATCCTGGTTCTCTGCAGAGACGACCTCCAAGGATGGTGCAGGAGTGAAACCAAGGAGGTGAACTGTCCCAGTCTAGGCTGCTTTTGCACAAGAAGCAATAGGTGGCAGCCAATCAAAGAGAAATCCAACCTGGAATTAAGCAGGGATTTCCTGAGAGCAAGAACAATTCGTCGAGGGAACAGCTTGCCTCCCAGAGTTGTGGTTGCTCCATGGCTGGAGGTTTTCAAGAGAAAAAAACTGGACAATTATTTATCCAGGATACGAGGTGGGGGAGGAGCGAAAATGGGCGGACTAGATGACCTCCAAGGTTCGTTCCAGCCCCATCAACCTACCATTTAATTCCACTGCTTTCTTTCAAATCACACCCTGGAGGTGGTATATTATTGTAATATATTATATTAATATATTATATAGTAGTATATTATGTTATATATTATATATTATTGTAATATATTGTAATATTATATTAATATATTATATTATTGTAATATATATTACATTAATATTCTTATCACTATTATATTCTGGATTCTTCGGGAGAGGAAAGAAAAGGACAGGTTGACGCCTGGCTGGGGATGATGGGTACGGCAAGGCTACAACAGCGCCCACACCCAGCAGGAGCAATAACGGCAGCTAATCTTCCCCCTTCCCAAATTGCCTTCTGACCAACCCCCCCCACCCCCGCTTTTTTTTTAAATATAAAACAAATTCACGGAAAGAGGAGGGGAAAAAATATGATAAAAATATTTCCAAATTATCCTCCTAAACTTCCTCCTCCTCCTCCTCCTTCCTAGCCCCGCCCCTCCCACATGGCTCCGAAGCGCGGTCGAGCGTTTTTGACGTCACTTCCGGCGCGAGCGTCTGTCTCTCTCTCTCTCTCTCTCTCTCTCTCTCCTTCCTGTCGTGCAGCTTCTGCGGTTGCCATAGGAACGGCTCTCCTTTTTTCCCCACCCCCTCGCTCCCGCCCCGCCCCTTTCTGGGCTTTCCGAGGCTTTCTGGGCGGCGGGGGCGTCTTCGGCAGGTAGGAACCGGAGGGGGGGGGTCGGGGGGGGTCGGGGGGCTGCAATTATTTCTTTTATTGCTGCTGTCAAGGTTGTTTTCGAGGTCGGTTGGGAGGGGACGGGGTTGAGACGGTAGCCTGGTGTGCGTGGAGCCTCCGTGTTCAGGAGCAGTCTATCGTCTTTTTTTTTTTTTTTCGCTTTTTTTTGGGTGGGTGGGAAATATGTATTTCGAGCGCAGCCTAGCTGGAGAGGAGAGAGCACATTTAGCTCAAAACGAGCCACCCGTGGAAGAAAACTCTGGCTTTTTTAAAAAAAGGGGGGTGGGTGGGAGGAGGAAACCTGAAAGATAAACAAATCTTTTTTTATTTAAAAAAAAAGAAGGAAGGAAGGAGAGAGGGAAGGAAATAAAGGAATAAAGAAGGGAATAAGGGAGGGAGGGAGGGAAGAAAAGAGAAGGGGCAGAGGGAGCGAGAGAAGGAAAGAAAGGAGGGAGGGAGGAAAAGAGAGAAGGAAGGAAATAAGGAAGGAGGGAACAAGGAAGGAAGGAAAAGAGGAGGAAGGAAAGAGAGAAAGAATAAAGGAAGTTAGGGAAAGAAAGAAAAAGAAAGAAAGAGGGAAAAGAAAGGAGGAGGAAGTAAGGGAGGGAGGAAAGAAAAAGCAGGAAGGGAGGGGATGGGGTTTTAGAGCCGGAAGGTACCTCTAGAGAGCATTTAGTCCACCCTTTTCCGAGCAATGGAGGGTGAGATGCAGGGTTTTTCTAAGGGGGTGCTTCTTATAGCACCCCAAGACCCTCTCGGTGTCTGCAAAATCGAAACAAGTTGCCAGTCTATATTAAAAAATATTACAACGTATGGGGAAAAAAACAACCATCGAAGTGTATCTTATTCCGAGTAAATTACACAGGTACTTTGAGCCACCCTCTGACTGAAGGGAGGGCAAGAAATCCGCTGTCTGGAGGTGCTTGTGGGACTTTTGTGCCCCCCCACCGCAACATCAAGAGGGGGCTGGCCCCCCACTGCCACCCCTCTCCTGCCCCCCCTCTCTTCCCACTCCCTACCTTGACCATGTTTATCCAGGGACAGCTAGAGACCACTTAGACATCTCTTCACTCATGGAGGAGGAGGAGGAGCAAGAGAAAGGCAACAAGACTTAAAATAACTTTATTGAATGTACACTAATCGGCATACATTACAATGAAATTCCATTGCATGCAGCTCTCAACCACCTCCAGTATACACTGCATAAACATTGTTGTGGTTCGCCGGCAGCCGGTGCAGACAGCAGCAGAATCGGGCAGTGGGGAAGAACTGGGACCAGTCCAGGAGTCTGGACTCGGACGAGAGTCCTGCATCTGATGCAGGGATGGGGCCAGGACCATCTGGGAGTGGGGTCCTTCGGAGCCCCGAGGCAGAGGAACAAGGGGATCCTGTTCCCAATGCGCATGTGCACAGAGCCGCTAGAAGGAGAGAGAAGCTGAAACAAAAGGGGCGATTCAGGAGTAAGGTTGGGAGGTGATTGCCCCTCCCATAAGGTATAAAGGACAGGCAAAGGTAGAGGAACCTTTGCAGGAAGCAACATCATTCGTTCGGTTCAGATTCATTCTTGAAACTCTTTGTACTTCAGTTGGTTTTTTTTTTTTCTAGTTCATTTGATACTTCTGCTATTGGCAGCACTTCACAGGAAAGAAAGGTGGGTGCTTATCTCGAGGGATTGTTTGAGATTCATTACCGGCCGGGAATGAAAACAATCCCCAGCGTTGCAATAAAACAAGACTTGTTTTTAAAATAAGCGTGTGCGTAATTACAGTTTAGGATGCCTTGGTCAGAACAAACATGACAAAAAAGCCCAAATAAATAAATTAAAAAACAACAACATGAAGACACAGCAGAAAAGTCCTGCCAGGCTGGTGGGCAAAGGGACCAAGTGACTTAGTGCCCACCTCCCTTGGCAAGATGCAGTTTGGAATAAAAGCCTCTCATCCCAACTTAGGATAGTGTCATCAAGCCCTCCCCAATGACCAGGAGATTACATCACAAACTAAGCAAATTGGGGGGGTAGAGGGGGGGTTGCCTGCCCCAGGTCCCCACCCTAGCAAGGCCCTGGGCACTTTTTAAAAATCCATTGATAGCTTTCGCACCCAGGTTTCTGAGGTGCGCCATTTTTCCCCCGAGATATTCCAATTGAGAAACGGGAAAAAGTAGCAAGGAAATGTGGGATTTGGACGAGACCAGCAGTAGCAGCATCACCACTACAACTTCGGACTCCGAGGTATTTCTGGCTGCTGAGTGTCCAGATTTCTTCCCATTCCAGGCTGAAGGATTGGGGACAGTTCCCTTATTCCTCTTTAATTATTCTCTTAGCCATCCATTTGCTAACCTGGATTAAAGTGACTCCCAAGCACTTGGACAGGGGACAAAATGCAGGTAGCCTTCAGCTTACAAGTTCGTTTAGCGGCCATTCGAAGTGCCAGCGGCACTGAAAAAGGGGACTTACGGCTGTTTCTCAAAGTTATGCCCTTTGCAGCTTCCCATGGATCACGTGATCAAAATTCGGATGCTTAACAAAGGACTCGTGCTTATGACGGTCGCTGCGTCCGAGGGTCACGCAGCGCCCTTTGATGACCTTATGACGAGTGAAGTCGATGGGGAAAGCCAGAATTAGCTTCACAGCCAGGTTACTAACTCATCAACTGTCCTGATTCACTTAACACTTGTGACAAGAAGAGTCACAAAGTGGAGCGATAAAACTCACTTATCCAATGTCTCTGTGATGACCCAAAAGGGCGTGGCACAAAGGCCACACAGTCAGATAATTGGTAGGAGTCCCTTTATTACCTCCAGCTTTGCCCCCAATATCCAGGTTACCTTCTGGCTGGAGAAAAACTCCCAAGAACAGCCTTTTGACTGCAGGGAATCAAGTCCAAAACATGGTCAACACAAACTGCAACTTTTAAGTCCAATCAAACCAAACTGAGGTAATTAGGCAGGAGGCAGGAGCAAGAATTCCAGACGTGAAGGCACGGCAATAACACAACACGGTTGGGAAGACGTCAGGAACACAGATAAGCCACAACGATTCAAGATAAAGTCACTTTTGCTCCCAACAGCTGCCGCAGTTAGCATTCAGTTCTTATAAACTTTCATTCCCAGGGAATCAGGGCCCTTTCCTCCCCCGTAAGCCACGCAACCCACGTTGCTCCCTTCTCCATTCCTCCCTGCGTGCCCTAGGATGAAGAGGGGGTGGGCCTGGGTCTTCCTCTGAACTCCCTCTCCCTTGCTCTCCCTCTTCCCTGCTCTGCCCAGCCGGACTTTGCCTTTCCCCAGTTTCCTCCACAGCCAATGGAGCCACGCTCCCTGTCAGCTGTTTGTCTTCCTCCTCGGATTCAGACTCCAACAGGGGCATGACAGTCTCACTTAACAATAGAAATTGGGAGGGTCATAAGTCATGGACTACCCTATACATGTTGGTTGCCTATCACTTGAGTTTAGTAGATCGTGTGACTGTTTGGTTGTAAATGCGAGGACCAGTCATACACCGCCTTTTGGGGGGGACGGGGCATTGTTGCAGCTTTGAACGGCTGTTAAACGAACATCTGTAAGTCAAGGACCGCTTGTAAGGGCTTTTTTGATTTGCCGTACAGCCCTTGGCCTGTTTTCCTGTCTCCCGCCAGGACATGTCCCTGTCGTGCTTCTTTAACCCGCTTCATGGCTGCTTGCTCCACGCCGATGGCCACGGGGAAGTCTGGACGGACTGGAACAGCACGTCCAAGTTCTTCCAGTATGGCTGGAGGTGCACCACCAACGAGGACATGTACGCCAACAAGACCCTCTTGGGGAACTGGAACGAGGAGCGTTACGACATCCAGAAGAGGAGGCAGCTCCAACCTCTCCCTTCCCAGGTCAGGCTGTCCTTGGGACAGGATTCTCTGCTCGCTCGGGCGCCACAAAAAACCGCAAATTATCCGGTGCTGTGGGGCTTTTCTATAATTCTTTCTTCCTTGGTGCTCTCTCAGCTTGGTTCTTTCCTTGCAGACATTTCATAATATGATCAGTGCCGGAAAGGAGGTGGGTTTGTGGAGAGGAAAAGAAGGAGGGAGGAAGAGGAGGATTAGGTTTTTATAATGTTATAATTTGCAAATCTCGGAAAGCCCAATTTTTAGAACTCACACAGGGCTGGATGAGATGCGCGTTCCTTCCTGGTCATAACTCTGCATACCCTGGAGGCAGGCAGCAGCATTGAACCTACCCAGCACTTGTTTCAAACCATGGTTTGTTGAATAATGTACCCTAAGTCATGACCTTTCAAAACTAGTGTAGGTGGCGTTCATGGATGACTCTCCTGCAAAACCCAGAAAATCCACATTAAGATTTTGTGCGGTGCGAGTTCTCTTTCAGCCTAACCTATCACCCGATGGGCATAAGAAAAGGTGGAGGAAAAAGCCAGCTCTCTGGGCCTCTTATGAGACATCGGGGTCGTTAAACAACGGCCACAGAGACCATCTTTAAACATCCCTGGGCCTGCACAGCCTCCGATCTACACGAAAAGTCGCTTTAAGATATCAAGGATTCTGAAAAATGTTGTGGAACACATTTCGCCTGTTATGAGCAGGAGGTTGGACTAGAAGACCTCCAAGGCCCCTTCCAACTGACCTATTCTGTTCTATTCTATTGTTTATTCTATTCTTATTTCAATTTAATTCAATTCAATTCATACTCTATTCTTAATTCTTTTCTATTCTAATTCAATTCTTACTTCAATTCAATTCTTCTGTTCTTAATTCTATTCTTAATCCTGTTCTATTCTTATTTATAGAGTAGAGTAGAGTAGAATAGAATAGAATAGAATAGGAATAGGAATAGGAATAGGATTCTTTATTGGCCAAGTGTGATTGGACACACAAGGAATTTGTCTCGGTGCAAATGAGTGTACACAAAAGAAAAGATTCTATTATTTCTCTTCTCTTCTTAATTCTCTTCTCTTCTTATTTCTATTCCATTCCATTAATATGTTATTGTTGCGTCTTAGTTCCTCTCTTCCATTCTGGGTTATTTTCATTGTCTCCCACCCTGCGTGCCCATTTTTTGGGGGCAGCAAACTGATTGAGCTTAGCCAGGCTGACTTCTGAGCTCAGGAATGTGGAGGGGATCGTGCCACGCTCCTCATTTCCCGCTGTGCTGGCTAAAGTCCCTGAGCCCCGGGGTTCGCTCTGGGGAGGAAGCCCCCCCACTGCTTGAAGGCTGGTCTGGGGTGAACCAAGGGGCCGTCTGAAAAAAGGGCGTGCACACTGACCCTGGGCTTTCCTTTGCAGTACACGCACTATTTCGAGTCCACGTACGCGTCCGACTATTCCAAGGAAAAGCCTCGCAGATTGAGAAGTAGGTGTACGAAACTAACACGCAGGAAGAAAACACGCAGCCGGGAGAAGCCAGGGCACCTGTATTTCCTCTCCCACCTCCAAAAGAATTCCTAGCAGGAGAATCGAAATGGGACAGATACAAGCCTTGGTAGCGTGTGAGCTGAGAGACCCTTCAAGGGTTCTCAGATCAGAGTCGATATCCCAAGCCAAGAGGCGGGAGGGGGCAGGGGTGCGATTCAGCTGGTGTAACAACCGGGTTGTGCAGCAAACTCTGCGTGTGAATCTGCTGAGCTTTGAAACCAGGGTATAAAGCACAGGCTAGAACTGGGGCAAGCGGGTAGGCCCAACAGCTGATCATCGGAGCTACCGGATCGCTCAAACCGGACCAAATCGGTAGAATCCCATCCCTGGGGAGGGGACCTTAGGAGCACCCCGGCACAATCAGTGAAACACGCCCAGGGGTGCAAGGGAGCCGTTGCTCCTCCCTTTTCCCAGCGTTTTTGGGGTTGGGGGATTCCAGTTAAGCCCCCCCTCCCCCTCAGGAGCCCAAATGCTTGGGCTGGCATAAGGGTCCAGGTGTGATTTTTTTTCCAAAGCCAGGAAGATACAAAAGCAGGCAGCCAACTACAGGCAGCCCTTGACTTATCGGCTGTCCGTTGAGTGACCGTCTGAAGTTACGATGGCACTGAAAAAAGGGGACTTACGACCGTTTTTCACCCTTACGACCGATGCAGCTTTCCCCACTGTCACGGGTACAACCTTGGCCACTGATCCATAGTTGTGACAGTTGCCATGTCCCGTGTGTGTGTGTGTGTGTGTGTGTGTGTGTGTGACATGATGCCCGTCTGACAAGCGAATTTGATGGGGAGCCCGTTTGGCTTAACAACCGTGTGACTAATTTAACACTGCGGTGATTCACTTAACAACAGCGGCAAGGAAGCTGATCAAATGGGGCAAAACTCACTTAACGTCTGTCTCGCTTACCAATAGCAATTTTGGGCTCAGTTGTGGTCGTAAGTCAAGGACTACCTGCATTGAAATTCTTGCAAAGCAGGGCATACTTATTGGCCTTTCAGGCTGTCCTTTTCCTTAGGGGGATTAGTTAGGGGGAGGTCCCCTTTCGTTAGGAGGACGCCAGGCCAGGGCTGCCTTGGGCTGTTGCAAAGGGAGCCCAGTGTGTGGGTTAAGTGTTGCAACACACCCACACACCCACACGCTTTGCTTTCCTGCCTTCCCCCGCCCTCTCTGTGCTCCTAGGGGTGACGCGAGAGCCTCACTGGTTCCCCGGACACCAGCCTGAGCTGGAGCCTCCTCCGATCAAGCCCACCGCTCGGTCGTGCTACATGATCGATTACGAGCCTCCGCACGGCAGGGCAGCCTGCTCCTTGGCCGAAGGGAAGCCCAAGGAGGCAGCGGAGGCGCCGCTGAAGCAGTAGGCCGCTGCTCCAGGATCTCCTGGGGCTGGAAAATCTCTGCCAGGGAGGGGTCTCCTCGCCCCACCACCAAGATTGGAAGCGTGGCGGATGGGCAGCCGTTCCTAAAATAAAAGAAATGCCCGCCAGGAGAGTCCCCGACCCCTTCGTGTTTCCGTTTCTGGTTCCTTCCTAGTTCTGTGTGTGACTCTCTTCGCGGTTCCACAGCTGGATTAATCCCTCCATTCAGGACCGAGCCTTAGCTAAGATTGACGCGGGCGATGAAGACTGAGGGGAGAAGCTGCCCCGCTGTTTATTTGTTACTAAAGAAACTCTCGTGCCTATCTTTGCACAGGGAAATAAAGAAAGAAGAATCGATTGGCCGTTTCGGTCCCGTGAAAAGCCTTTTTTCTTTGGTATTAAAAAAAAGGGGGGGTCTCTGGGGGTCTTTTTATTTCCTTGGTCCTGGGAGGAGGGCCGATTTTTCTTCCCGCATGACAGGGATGCTGCGCTCCGGGGTTCCCTTGAGTTTCCTTGGTCCGTTCACCGTCAGGACGCCATCCGAGGAGAGGGAGGAGGTGATAGTGAGCGGGTCCACGTCGGCTGGGATTCGGTACTTCCGGTTGAACTCGCGGGCGATGAAGCCATGTTTGTCCTTTGGGGAAGACAGGGAAAGGTAGAAAAGGCATGGCACGGTCAGTTTGGGAATCGTCCTGCCGGACCCTGTTTGGTCCAGTGGTGAAAGCGGCAGTCTAGAAACTAGGAGACTGGGAGTTCTAGTCCCGCTTTGGGCATGAAAGCCAGCTGGGTGACTTTGGGTCAATCACCGGGAGACGGTGAGTTCTAGTCCCACCTTAAGGACAGGAAAACCAGCTGGGTGACTTTGGGCAGATCACCAGGAGACGGTGAGTTCTAGTCCCACCTGAAGGACAGGAAAACCGGCTGGGTGACTTTGGGCAGATCACCAGGAGACGGTGAGTTCTAGTCCCACCTTAAGGACAGGAAAACTGGCTGGGTGACTTTGGG